TTACCAATAAGCTGAAATGGGAATTTGATTAATAACCTATGGAAATCTAAGAGGAAATCACCGAAGTACACAGTAACTGCATACTGTAGTCAACTCCTTAAAAGTCCTTCTGTCAGTGGATAATCAGGAGCATGGAAATACTCTGGGGTGACAGAAACTAGAATTCTCTCTCTGACATCCTTCCTCTTGTTTCAGGGTGTCTCAACTAATGTCTTCTTTGTGGAACATGAGGTTCCTGAACAAGAGATCCAGGAAGGGAAAAGCCACCAGAACCCACATGAGGCCCACTTTGTAGTGGAACTGTGCAAATATTTCTTGTGTCAGGGCTATAAACCTTCTCAGATCACCATTCTCACTACTTACACTGGACAGCTCTTCTGTCTGCGTAGGCTCATGCCGGCAAAGATCTTTGAAGGTGTGAAGGTTCATGTGGTGGATAAGTACCAGGGAGAGGAGAATGATATTATTCTGCTGTCATTGGTGAGGAGCAACAAAGAGGGGAGACCTGGGTTCTTGCAGATCCCTAATCGGATATGTGTGGCATTATCCAGAGCTAAGAAAGGCCTCTATTGTATTGGAAACATGAGAATGCTTGGCAAGGTTCCTCTCTGGAACAAGATCATTGAAACCCTTGGGAAAAATGGTCACATTGGCCAGTCATTAGAGCTTTGCTGTCAAAACCACCCTGGAACCAAGACGAAGGTATCTACAGGTGAAGACTTCAACAGTGTCCCAGAGGGAGGCTGTACTCGTCCCTGTGAGTTTAGGTTGAGTTGTGGACATGCTTGCGCAAGGGCATGTCACCCGTATGACCCTGAGCACAAAGAGTACCAGTGCCTGAAGCCTTGTCAAAAGGTACTTTGTGAAGATGGGCACCACTGCCAAAAGTCATGTTATGAGCCCTGTGGAAAATGTATGGTGAAGGTAAAGAAAACTATTTCTAAGTGTGGCCACATACAGATGGTGCCATGCCATATTCCAGAATGTATATTTCAGTGCCTAGAACCTTGCCAGAAGAAGTTAAACTGTGGACACACATGCATGCGTTCCTGTGGGGAGCAGTGCACAATGAAGTGTCCTCAACGGGTTACAGCCACACTGAAATGTGGCCACGAGCAGAAAGTTGCTTGCTGGATGACTAGGGTGGGACATGAGGAGGCTGTGAGATGTGAGAGTGAGTGTTCTGTCACACTGGCATGTGGTCATGTATGTTCAGGTTCCTGTCATACTTGCTTTGGAGGAAGATTTCATAAGGCATGTGGCAGCCCATGCAAGCGTGTCTTGATCTGTTCCCACAAGTGTCAAGAGCCTTGTACTACAGAATGTCCTCCATGTCAGAAGGAATGTCAGAACTACTGTATTCACAGTAAGTGCAAAAAGAAATGTTGGGAAAGCTGTGTTCCTTGTGCTGAGCCATGTGAGTGGCAGTGCCAGCACTACCAGTGTACCAAGCTTTGCTCTGAGCCGTGCAACAGGCCTCGCTGCAATGTTCCCTGTGCTAAGATGCTGCCCTGTGGTCATCCCTGTATTGGATTGTGTGGAGAGCCCTGCCCAAAGAAGTGCCTTGTTTGTGACCATGAGGAACTTACTCAGATCTTCTTTGGCTTTGAGGATGACCCAGATGCTCGATTTGTACAGCTTGAAGACTGTGGCCATGTCTTTGAGTCACAAGGCCTTGACCACTATATGGATGAAGATGATGATGTTGTCAAGCTGAAGGTGTGCCCTCTGTGTCAGACACCCATCAGAAAGAACCTGAGATATGGCAGCAGTGTGAAAAGGCAGGTGGAGGAGATAGAACGCGTGAAACAGAAAATCCAAGGCCCAGCAGGGGAAATTGAGTCTAACAGAAAGAGACTGCAGGCCGTACTGGCACGGAATCTTTTTCTGAGGCATGATCTATCCTCTAAGTATGCCATGCTGGAAAGGAAACTAAAAGCTTCTCCTCTCTCCACAAAGAGTATCGGACTACTTGAGAACCTGCTTAATTTCTACAAACGTATAGCAGACTTAACTAATTCTGTGAACAAAATTGATGAGAAAGAAAAGAAGAGGCTGATGAAGAGGCTGGATGAAGTGCAGGAGTGGTTGGATAAGCCACGCATCAGTTTTACAGAACAGGAGCTCACTGACCTGCAGTCTGAGATCCAGAGGCTGACTTACTTGCTGAGCCTCTTGGCAAGGTGCAAAGCAACAAGTAGGGTGATGCCCGCAGACATCGCAGCAGAGATTAACAGTGCACGTGAGATCCTGGAAGGGACACAGAAATTCACAGAGGAGGATGAGGCTGCAGTGAAGGCTCACCTGAAGAAGATCAATGCTAGCTTGCCCACGTCAGGGCTGGGAATTTCTGAAGCTGAGCGGGTGCAGATTGTCAGTGCTATTGGCTGTCCCCGTGGCCACTGGTTCAAGTGCAAAAATGGGCACATCTACGTAATTGGGGAGTGTGGGGGGGCAATGGAGAAGAGTACATGCCCTGAGTGCCACGAAGTCATCGGCGGCACCAACCACACCCTGGAGAGCAGCAACCGCCTGGCCCCGGAGATGGACGGAGCAACCCACGCGGCCTGGTCCGACGTGGCCAACAACATGCTCAACTTCGAGGAGCTGCGCCGGCTGATGTAGGGTGTGTGAGCCTCGCTCCTTCCCACAGGCACGCATGCAGGGGCACAGCCCCACTGATTTCCCCCTTTGCTTACTCTATACTAATAAAATGTGTATTGCTTCCAACCGGGCTGGGCTGTCTCTGTGGGGTGGGGTTGTCACTATGGGGTAGGGCTGTCTCTATGGGGCTGTCTCTATAGGGTAGGGCTGCCTCTATGGGGCAGGGCTGTCTCTATGGGGTTGTCTCTATGGGGTGGGGCTGTCTCTATGGGGCTGTCTCTATGGGGCTGTCTCTACGGGGCGGGGCTGTCTCTATGGGGTGGGGCTGTCTCTATGGGGTGGGGCTGTCTCTATGGGGCTGTCTCTATGGGGCGGGGCTGTCTCTATGGGGCAGGGCTGTCTCTATGGGGCTGTCTCTATGGGGCGGGGCTGTCTCTATGGGGTGGGGCTGTCTCTATGGGGTTGTCTCTATGGGGCGGGGCTGTCTCTATGGGGTGGGGCTGTCTCTATGGGGCGGGGCTGTCTCTATGGGGCTGTCTATGGGGCGGGGCTGTCTCTATGGGGCGGGGCTGTCTCTATGGGGCGGGGCTGTCTCTATGGGGCGGGGCTGTCTCTATGGGGCTGTCTCTATGGGGTGGGGCTGTCTTTACGGGGCCGTGTCTATGGGGCGGGGCCGCTCCCGGAGCGGACGTGACGCGCCTCTGAGGCGCTCCGGGGCCGCCCCGCAGCGATGGAGGCGCGGGAGCCGCTGCGGGACGTGCGCGGGGCGCTGCGGGCGGTGCTGGCGCGGCTGCGAGGTGCGGACCGGGACCGGGGCCGGGGCCGGGCGGGGGTCGGGCCGAGCCGGGCCGGCTCCCCGCGGGCTGAGCTGTGTCTGTGCCGTTGCAGAGGGAGAGCCGAGCGAGGGCCGAGAGCCGTTCGAGCTGCCGCGCTTCTGGGACGCGCTAGGTACGGGCGGGGAGCGGCCGCGCCGGGCCGGGGTTCGGGGGTGCCGGGGCCTGTCCGGGGCAGGGCCGCCATCCCCGCGGGTCTCCGGCTGAGGGGCGTGCCCTCCACTCACGGAGTCACGGAATGGGCAAGCTTGGAAGAGAGAGATCTTGAAGATCATCAAGTTCAGCCGCTAATCGTTTGCTCAGCTGTAAACCATAAAGCACGTCAGTGCCAGATCCAGCCTCCTGAACATCCCCAGGGTTAGTGGCTCCTCCACCGCCCGTTCCAGTGCCTGACCACCCTAACTGGTCACCAAACGCTCCAAGGTGTGGCAAAGCAAAGGCTGATATAGAACCGTTCACACAAGGTTTATAAAGGTCCCTGTTAAAGCCTCCTGGCACATCCTGGTGAACAGGTCATGAACCAGGATGCAGACTGGGGTACACTACCAGCCAAGTGAGAAAAAGCAGACAGAAGCAATGCATGGCACAAATGCAGCAGGGAGTTTTTCTTTGTAGTGGGATTTAGTGTATACGTTTGTATGGCTTGGGTGAAATGGTAAACAAGCAGTAGAATCAGAGCTGCTCCTCTGTTCTTTTATCTTTTACCTGAGTTACTTTCTCTTCTTTTGCTCCTGTTGGATTATTTTTTAGGTCAGACATTCCAAGTAACATCACAGGAAGCTACAAAGCTGAGTCTGGCATTCTCAAGGCCTCCACTACCTTCTGCAGAGGTGAGAGAAAGCCTTGACAGACCATGAAATTGCAGTGTGTTTGCAAGATTCAGGTCATTTGACTAAATGGGCTGTGTACTGTAGAGTGTATTAATATAATCCAAAAACTGCCTAGCGAACAAATTTCTCTAAGGTAGGGAGATATACTAAATAAAAATGTTCTTATATTCTTTCACAGCTACAGCTTGTTGCTGATAGAGACAGATTATTGGAGAATACAGACCTTAGGTTTAACAAAGAATATGCAATATTTTTGCTATCAGTTGGGAGAAGTTTATCATACAGGTGTTCAGAGGAGAGGAAAAAAAAAGACCTTCATTTCAGAATAATGATCTAAGTTACTTTTTCTTTTCTGATGCATGACCACCACACCAGGGAGTGTTTTGTTACTAAATCATGAGGCAGGCTAAGATGCATACAGCTTGCTTATGGTGCCTTCTTCTTGTGCTGTATTTGTTTACTCAGAGCAGTCTGAAAGCCAGTGATTGCTTGGGAGGATTTCTAAATGTGGTGCAGCTGTGTGTTACTCATGGGTGATCCTTTTGCCTCTCTGTTTTCAGAACTGCCGGAAGCTGAGTGAGGATGTCCAAAATGCCATTCTTGCAGTTGCCACAGTGTACTACTGGCTACCCAAGGGCCAAGGTGAGCTAGTGAAGCAAGGCAGTCACCACTGTATAGGATGAGGGTTCTTTCACCACCACTATATAGAGAAACCCAGTGTTTCAGAGCCTAGTGAGGTCTGGTATCAGCAAGTTTTTATTAGCATGGTATCCCATATCAGCTGTTCTGTAGACTTTGAACGTGTTTATGAGTGAGATACTTGTCTGTCTGCTGCTGCAGGTTTCCATCTGTGGGAGAGTGATGATATAGGAAGTTGTGTAGTTGATTGAGCATTGAAATTTATAAAGTGTTGAAATCCTTGTCCAGAGTTCTTTTGGAACTGGGAAGGGTTTTCCTTTCTTCAGAATACATGTAGCTTCATTTATACAGTGTATCCACACAAACAGAGCAGTCTGTGTGTTCATCTTTGGCACTTGCTTTCTGTCAGTGCTGTCTTTGTGCCAACTTTCTCGCTCTTTCTCTGTCTCACCCAGGTACTACCCTTCGGAAGATGGTTCGAGATGCTACCACTGAAGTAGTGGAAGGGATGATCCAGCTCACAGACACAATTCTCAATGCCCCAGTGGAGAGGTTGTCATTTTCAATTGCACAGTTCTGTGATTTTTGTGATAATTTTTGGGAAAAAAAGCAAGAAAATGTTACAAGTATACTTGTCAGGAGGCAGTGAGGGCTTTACACAGACTTGGCATCCTAGCGACAAGCTGGTTGGTGACATCTTTGCAGCAGAACTTTTACTGGTGTTTATCATCTTTGTTGTTGCAGAAAATGAAACAAACCACAGTCTAGCACAGTGCTGTTATTGACTCTGACCTTGAGGGTATTGTTTTGTTTCAGCTTGTCTCAGGAACAGCTGATATCAACTGGAGGTGTGTGGGAGGCCTGTGAGCAAGTGTCTAACCTGCCACGAGGTGAGTGGTGTAAATGCAGAGCAACAGCTCCAGGATGCATTGTCTTGGAATATCAACAGCTTTTGCAAGGGCATTCCAGCTGGTACAATAAAAGCTGAATAGAGAATAACTCAAAAACTTGACTGGTTTTGAAATGTATAAGCTTGGAAATCAGGTCAGATTCTTTGTCTGACAACAGTGCAGCTCTGAGCTCTGCAGGAAGTTTGATCCTACAGTGATTGCAAGCCTGGATGGAGGTTGTTGCAAAGTGATTTGAAACAGTGGGGTGCCACAGTTTTCATCCTTTTGCTTTTGCAGATAACCAGGCAGCAGTTGTGTCGGCTCTGGCTGCATCTCTAGGTGTGGTCAAGGATGCTGTGGAGGAGATGGAACATGTAAGGAAGCCCCTAAGCCTTAGAGGGACATGCAGTGGTGGATTCATAGACTCAGAATATTCTGAATTGGAAGGGATACACAAGGATCATCAAGTCCAGCTCCTGGTCCTGCACAGGACCACCCAAACTATCCCACCATGTGCCTGAGAGTTGTCCAAATGCTCCTTGAACTCTGGGAGGTTTGGGGCTGTGACCACTTCTCTGGGGAACCTGTTCCAGTGCCCAGCCACCCTCTAGGGTGGTTCAGTGATGGAACACAGGAATTATTTTATTTACAGGCTTTAATATCAATTTGCTCTGACATGACATAGATTATTGTTTTATGCATGGATTTTAATGAGTTTTTATTCTCAAGCCTGGTTTACTTTGTATAAGATTTTCATAAAGCCGTGTCCTGAATTGGGAATGAGGGAGGCAATTTAGAATCATGTAAGAGTTCACCAGGTTCTTGCTGTTTGCACTGTTAGACTGATGGTTTTTCTTAATCCAGTCATTTTAGCATTAACCAACTGAGATTTCTCCATTAATTGCTTTTATAATGTCTAGATTATGCTTTCCCTTTGCTCCTGGGTGTTACTGGAATTGATGCTAGGCTCTGGATTTTCAGTGCCTCTGTGTTCTCAGGCACTGGTGGAAGGGCAGGATCCCTATGGGGACATCATGGAAGATGAAGAGCTGGGCTTTCGGGGCAACAGGGACACGTACTGGTCAGAGGCTGACAGGCAGCTGCTCAGCTCCTGCATGGGACTGATGAAAGCTTCGAAAGCCTGCCTGAAGAAGGTCTTGGCTGCAGTGAAGGCCCATGGCAAAGCTGATTCTCCAGAGCACATTGCACAGCTGGATGACCTGGCAGACATTGCTAATGAGATCAGCCCAAGGTAAGCAGGGTTCTCCCCTTGCTGCTTTTCCCTCTAGAGCAGTCCTCGTCTTTCTTTGAGGTCTTGAGTGAGGAGTTAGGAACAACCTTTATGATACTGGAGCTGTGAGGAGGTGGTGGACACAGATGTGGTGGGAAGGCTGTTAAGCTGTTGAGGGTTGTGTAGGTCAGGAGAGAAGCACAGGGGATGGAGCTGTGACCACATCTCACTCCATGGTGAGAGGGACACACAGATGACTGAGAAGGCAGTGGGAAGCATCCCATAGGTACAGCTGACATCTCTCTGTTGTTCCTGACCAATTCAGGATTGGGGCAGGCTTTGACCAGGGTGTGTGAGTTGTGCTATCAGAACATTCCTTCCTTGCTCCCCTCTTTTCTGTTCCAGTGTTGATGAGCTGGCACTGAGCATGTACCCACCTGTGAACCCATTGGCTGTGCGACTTAATGTGAGTATCTGCAGTCCTGATAGCTCAGTGTCTGTGTGTCTGCAGTCCTGATAGCTCAGTGTCTGAGCACCTGCACCTGGGACAGTGGCCTGGCTCTAGGGAATGGGAAGAAATCAGATTGGAGGGGTTCCATGACTTCAGGGAGAGATGGGTACTAGTGACTGCCCCAGTAATAATTTCTTAGGGATGAAGAGTGCCATTTATTCTTGCACACTTAACTTCCTTCAGGTGGACACACATTCTGCATCTGTACCTCTTCAAGGTACTTAAAGCTTCAGCTCTGAACTATAATCCACAGAGATTTGCAGTGATAGAGCCTCAGGAAAGTGATGTCTAAGGCTGCCTAGGTACTGCAGATGTACTTCCTTTCTTGGGTAGTGCAGTCTTGCTCAAATAAAGCTATCCATGAAATGAAAAACTCTTACAGTGAGTGTATTTAAGCACTGAAACAAGCTGCTTGAGAAGCAATGGAGTCTGCATCTTTGGCAACACTGAAAACTTGACTGGGCAACCCTCTGGCAACCTGACTGAACTTTGAAACATCCCTGGCATCATAAATCAAGTACAAATCTCCTCGTATCTGTGATTTCTTTTATTCTTAATCGTGTTTCGTGCCTTTGGCCAGTGGCTTGATTTTTTTTTTTTTAATAAAAAAAGAATTACTTAATATCAAATTGCATTAAAATCAATCACTTGCAACTTTGTACTTTAATATCAGTTACTAATTTCTAATAGGCTTATTAAAAAAAAATTAATGTATGCTTTAAAAAACAGGTGGGTTTTTTTACCTGTCACAGTGAGGAGTAGGTTGGGAGGCCCTTCCAGCATGGCAGTGATGGATAACTTCATTCTGCATCAGGATCCATGGCAGTTTTATTCATTCTAGGCTTTTGTGCATCCCTATAGTCCTCTTTTATTTTCCAGTACTGTTCAGACCCTCCTTTTCCTCTCATTTGGCTTACCTTATTTCCCTTTTGTTTCTTTCTAGGCTGCTAAATTGGCCTCAGTATTAACGAAAGTCTTAGAGATTGCCAAGTGAGTATGAGCTACAGTTTTGTGTGTGTTCCCTGCTATGAAGGTTGATTCCTTTCTGCCTCATGTCAAAGATGACTCATTTCTAGACAGCAGATGCTGGCATTTCAGAGCAATGATGATGTTATCTGGTCACAAAGGGATGGGAAAGAGAAAAAGGTGCTAGGGATGATGGTGGTTCCCTTATTTTGGGTTTGGGACTGCAGACATGAGTGTGGGTTCTTGCTCAAAGCCCTCTGGGGCTAGAGCAGCCCTGTTTTACTGCTGTGGTTATTCAGAGCTTCACAATACCCCCGTGTTTGGATGCATAACACACCAGGAGGCTTCCCTAATGAATTTCCTCCCCTTTTGCAGGACAAGCCATGTATGTCCACCATCAGAGGAGGGCTGGGTGCAGTTTCTAACTGGTGCAGTAGATCACAACATGAACAAAGTCAAGAACTTCACACAGGGTCAGCTTTAACTCTTCTGTGCCTCCGCGTGTTGCTGCCACTGGCTCTGGCATCTGCACTTCCAGTGAACTTTGCTGTTCTTTGGCTGTTTGGAAAGTGATGAGAACAGTGGAGGAGAGAAATTCACTGCTACTTGGAAGAACTTCTCCAGGAAGTTGCCCTTTGCCATGGCAAAGGGGTCATTTTGCTTGGATTCTTGGGATGATGCAGTTCTGCTTCTGAACGTGCCCCATTCTTTGGACATAACAGCTACTGTGGGGTTCAGAGACAAATAAAACATTGCTAGATTTACATTAGTTGCTTTATCTGTCTTCAGAGGGCAAAGGATATATACAGAATGAAAGGGTCTTGCTTCTTTTGCAAGCAGCCCAGTGAATAATTATAAAATGTTCTGCAATGCTACTATTTCCTATCTATTTCCTGTTCACTGTCTTAGAGACCAGTGAATGAGCTTTCTCTTATTTTCTCAGAAAGCAGCAGAAAATATTTTTTACTGCCTTACCAATGTCAAGGATCTACAGGGGGAGATACCCCCTATATATATATATATATAAATATATATCCCTTGAGACATGCTACGTCTATCATCACTTTAAAATTCCAGGATACCCTTTACTTTCTCACAGGTAGGGCAGAAGACTTAAGCACTGGTGGACTCAGCACAGGTGTGGTGAGAACTGCCATGTCTGCTTCAGCATTCAGCCCATCTTTGTCACAGTGAGGCTCAGCTTCTAAAACTGCAGAGCGGACATGGTGGCAGATGGGAGAGAGTTGAGTTTGTGCAAATAATCAAAATCAGATACGGTTTTAAATATAACTTTTTAATAAACTGTTAACATCTGTGCTTGCCCATGATCAGGGCACAGATCACAGCCTCTCTTTGGTAAGGACCTGTTCTGAGCTGGCCTCAGGCAGCTGCAATGTTGGTTGTTCTGTAGCTCTTCAGGTTGTGGAGCTGGGGGCAGGTAAGACATGCAGTGAGTCTGCTGGGCCCTGCCCGGGTGGGGGTGAATGGGATTTCCAGCTCTTGAGTGCTCTTAGCTTGCACAGAGCCCAGCCTGAAAGGAGAGAAAGGATCATACAGGAATCACCCTCTTTGTGGTCTTAGTTTCCTGTGGCTAGGATATGCATTAGCTAGACAGGAATGTGGTGCCAAAAAGAAGGAAAGGAATGAAAAGAAATAGAAGAAATCTTGAACTTGAAATCGTCATTTAACAGTAGTTTGGGAGGGAGATAGGACAGGAGAGTTGAAGCTCTCCATGGAGATATCTAAGGGGACTTTGTCCTAATGCAGCTTCTTGAGACAAATGTGGGGTGTTTGTCATGTGAAGGGGAGCATAGACAGCAAAAGGAAAAAAAGCTACCAGCCCCTTTGGTGGCTCTTAGCTAAGTCACATTTGCCTGGTTCTTCAGTAGAGAAGAGGAAGATACCACTGTCTTTATTTTTTACAGTGGGTAATGGATGGAAAGATGCCATAAACAGTACAGTTTCACTCCACTTAAGGATGTTCAAATTGCTCACTAGAAAGTAATTGATTTCTCAAGAGCAAATAATTTCTAAATTTCATAGCTCATTTCAGTGCCCTCTAACTTTGTCTTATTTCATGTGTGTTTCTGACTAAGTCTTGTGGCATTTCTTTGGTTATCCTTTTTGTTGGCAGGAGGTTTTCCTTTTGCTGTCTATGCCTTTGATGTTGAAGCTTTCACAGATGCCATATTGGCTTCAACTTGGGTATTGCACATCTGTTGAAAGTTCTCTTAGCTGGGTTTTCTCCTTTTCAGCATGAAAATCATCTGTATCATCTGTAAATAAAGGATGGGATGCTCGGGGCTTTTACGCCATAGTGATATCTTCCTGCCATGTTGTTGCCTGGTTATTTTTGGGGACAGCCTTTCCTGTGCAAGGGTTTCTCTTGCTTGTGTTGTGTCTCTTTTTCCATTTGCTGTTCTTGGATCATCACTTTGCACTTACCTGTAATTCCTTTGTCTGTAAATGAGCCCTCGCCCTGTGACTGCTATCACACACTGCTCCAGGGGCTCCATGAGGGGGTTCTGGAGGCTGATCTTTGCTGTGCTGGGCTCATACTGGACCATGTTTTCTGGGAACTGTTGAAAGAAGCAAATGGGCTGAAACTGAGAGAAGAAAATATATTCTTCTATGATTAAAGGGAGCTGTATGATTTTTCCGTGCCTGAGGTACCATTTGCCAGAAGAGGCAAAGTCCAGCTTAATTTCTTCTGCTCTGCTTTCTCAGAGAGTCCCAGAACTCAGCAGAATTGTTTTGCTGCTTATGACTGTAAAAGCTGTTTTCTCCCCACTGCAGTGGCAGAATGGCAGCCCAATCTTACCTCAATGGTGAGAGGGGAATCACAAATGCTGATTTCTTCCTGTGCCAGGTACATGAAGGAGGAGTCCTCGTCTCTGAGCACAGCAGTCAGCCTGAGCAGGTGGTTCTCTCCCAGCTCTTTTCCAAACCATGTGTAAGGCACAGAGACCTTCAAGTCATTGACTGGAACAGAGTGGTGAAGCAAGAAGTGATGAATGCAGCCTGGTCTTTCCCTGCATGACACCTAGGGGTGTTCAGTGCCCAACATTGGACTGAAAGCTGCAGCATTTAAATGCTAAAGTGACCTCAAGTGGATTTGCAGATTGAAAATCTCTAAGGTGATGTTGCCTAAGTGTTTTATTTCACAGAATGGGTGAGGTTGGAATGGACAATAGTGGATTATCTGGTCCAACCTCCCTGCCCAAGCAGGATCACCCCGGGGCACAGGATTGTGTCCAGTCGATTCTGGAATATCTCCCATTAGGGAGACTTCACAATCTCTCTGGGAAATCACCTAGAATCAACTATTCAGCCAACCTTTTGTAAACCTAGGGCTAGGAGAACTTTTCTGAAATGAGAGCACTAGAGAACTTTTCTAGCCGTGCACCCAGGAGAGTCCTTACCTGAATTGCTGTGGAGGTTAAAATGAAACTCCTCCTTCCAAAGCTGGGCAATGGGCACACCATTATAATGCAGAGCCTGGATCCCAACTACCAGATGAGTAGCCTTTTCTCTATCACTGTGGTTAAACACTTCAATGGAAAGTGTCATATCTTGTCCCAGTTGCAAAGAACTTGACTGGAAGTGGATGAAAAGGTTGACTGGCTCTTCCAGAGCAGTAGGAATGAATATAAACTGTGTGCTGCTGCTGCTGGTTGTCTCAAGTTCCTTCATGTTTCTGCAGGCTTTGTCAAGTACTTTTTTTTCCTGGAGAGAACCTGTCACAAAAAAAAGGAAGCCCATACTTTGGTTCTGTTTCCTGTTTACTAGTGAGAAGCAGCAGGAGAATGGCACTGATTTCTCCTGGTAGTACTGTAGGTAACTGTTTCTAAGGACATAGAGAGATATCCTTTTGTGCTTCTGGTTGGATCAGTTGGACAGCTTCAGCTGTCAGGATATTCATTGGATGTGCCTGACAGATTCTACTTGGCAATAGTTGTCATAGTTTTAAAAACACCTTGGTTTTAAAAAACATCTCAGAGTAGAGGAAGCAGCTGAATTTTGTTGCTGTAGCTAAGGCACAGTTCCTGCTCTCATGTGTGGATAAGGTGCAGTTGTCTCCTGGAGCCATGGAGACAACAAGCCACAGGTCAAGATGGGGTGTAATGGTTGAGCCAGGGAAACAGCACTCAGATTCTGAAGGGGGGAGCTGCTTGTTGGGGGAGAGATTTAGGCAGTATCTGAGAGCACAACAGTCCTTTTCAGAAAGCTGGAGTCTGAAATACATCTATCCATATTTATATTACAGAGGTGATGGGAGGTGGATGTACAGAGTGTAGAGATAACAGAAATCAGAAAGGTATTCCAGACATGAAAGCACTTGGTGAACAAACACCTGGTGTTCCACAGACCTTAATGCCATTAAGCAGGGTGAAGTTTGGGTGATGACCTCTCCTTTGGCTCTGTAGACAGAGAGAATGAGGTGTTCTAGTGCCACTGAAGAAGGGGAGGTAGTGAGAAGTGGATGACCCTGGTGCTCTGGTTTGGCTCTGCTCTGGTCTTTTACTCCTGATTTGTGATAGTGACAGGGAATGTGCTCAGCCTGTGCCTGCCCATACCTTCAGGATATTTGTAGTTTTGTGTGATGTCCTCACAGCGCTCACTGCCCACACTCTTGGTGCTGATGTTGTTACCAGTGTATTTTGTGCCACCAAAAGCTGGCTTGAGGGTGTCATCTGCTTTGTGTATCCACACGTGACACTTGGCATTGATGGCAGCAAAGAAGTAGCAGACATCATAATCAACCTGTGTGTCCCCTTCCTTGATGGCATGAACAGGGGCTGGCCCACAGAAAGAGAGACCTGAAGAGAAAATGTGCTCCAGTTAACATTCAGATGCTTTCCCAACTAAACCCATCCTTAGTTTACACCTATACTGGTGAAATATCTAGTTTAGGAGGCCATTAGGAAGCAGTGATAGAGCTCTTAGAACCACATGAGCTGCACAAACTAAACAGATAAATGATAGTTTTGTGCCTAAAGTCAACAGGGTGAGTAAGTTCCTGTCTTTTTGCATCTTTCCCCTGGAAGATGGGAAAGGAGGAATATTGAACAGCTTTATTTGCCCCTGCTTCACTTCCCCCCACCCTTGCTCTGATATCTTACCCTTGCTCTGATATCTTACCCTTGCTTTTTTCCTGGCAGGTGGCATCCAGTGCCTGCCACCCACTGTACTCTGGTAGCAAGTCTGAACGAGCCATCCAGCATTCATTCCAAACGTGGAAGGTCCTGCAAGAGCCAACACCATGAGCTTACATCCAGGGACTGAGCCCTGAGGTACAGTAAAGCTTTTGCCAAACCACAGCTTGTTAGTGCTCCCTTGAAGGAGTTCAGTTCATATTGAGAAGAGCAAGAGTTGTGTGTGGAGAAACAAGTGGAGTTTCTGCAGCAGGACTGGGCTACCATTCTTCCTTTGTGGGCTCTAGAAACAAGGCACTCTGGAGTTTGGGTTGCAGCAGTTTATCAAGAACAAGTCTTGTAGACAGGATTTCAGCTGAGCTGTCTCCTGTCACCTCCTTGCAGCTGTTTTACCTCTTTCCTTTCCCCTGGGTTTCATTTCCCACATCCAAGTATTGGCTCAAATTCTTGCTGGGGCCCTGCCATGTGTTCTTACCAGACACGAGCACTCTTGTCCTGTGTCAGCAGTGTCCCATCCTCATCATAGTACTCATCCACACTCAGGCTGCTCTTGGTGTTGTGAGCCCAGGTAAAGCCAGTGACCACCCTGGTGGGAATTCCCAGGCACCTCAAAACTGTGCAGAAGAGAGAGCTGTGAATCAGTTGTGCACCCTGCCCCAAGGGTGCCTCTGCTGATAGATGTAGAGCCTCTTCTGGTGCTAGGCCTGTTAGGAATGGCACCAGGATTGCTGTTTGGACTTTGCAAAAGGCATCCCTCCCTCAGGAAATAAAATTCACATGTGCATTCAGTGAATGGATGTACTGATCCTCTCATCTCAAAGGCAGTGATGCTGGGTGTGGTTGACACTAAAGATGTGCCTCTCCCCTGAGGATGAAAGGCTGTAGCAGCACTGTACCTGAGCACAGGGCTGCAAAAAACACCCAGCACCTCCCTGTACCTGAGCACAGGACTGCAGCAAACACCCAGCACCCTGTACCTGAGCACAGGGCTGCAGCAAACACCCCTGTACCTGAGCACAGGACTGCAGCAAACACCCAGCACCTCCCTGTACCTGAGCACAGGGCTGCAGCAAACACCCCTGTACCTGAGCACAGGGCTGCAGCAAACACCCAGCACCTCCCTGTACCTGAGCACAGGGCTGCAGCAAACACCCAGCAGCCTGTACCTGAGCACAGGACTGCAGCAAACACCCAGCACCTCCCTGTACCTGAGCACAGGGCTGCAGCAAACACCCAGCACCTCCCTGTACCTGAGCACAGGACTGCAGCAAACACCCAGCACCTCCCTGTACCTGAGCACAGGACTGCAGCAAACACCCCTGTACCTGAGCACAGGACTGCAGCAAACACCCAGCACCTCCCTGTACCTGAGCACAGGGCTGCAGCAAACACCCAGCACCTCCCTGTACCTGAGCACAGGACTGCAGCAAACACCCAGCAGCCTGTACCTGAGCACAGGATTGCAGCAAACACCCCTGTACCTGAGCACAGGACTGCAGCAAACACCCAGCACCTCCCTGTACCTGAGCACAGGACTGCAGCAAACACCCAGCACCTCCCGGAGCGCACGGGCTGGAATTGGGATGCAATCCACTGCTGGAGGATGGGGCTGCTTCCCAGCCACTTGGAAGGGGGTGTCCCATTATGGTGTTGCCCAGGCTCATATTCTGTCAGGCTTCTAAACTCACTGCAGTTCAGCTGCAGAGAAGGAGGAGAGAAAGATGTAGGAAGGAATTGCCTCTCTTTGGTAGGTCCACCTGATCCTGTTTGTGGAAGCTGCTCCCAAAGCAGATGAAACCAGAAGGACTTTTTTGTGTGTCATGGTTGAGCAGAACAGGGGCAGCAGTCTCCTCTGAGATTTATTCAGCAAGTGCATTTTCACTGCTAAGAACCTCCTGCAGCACTGTGTGTTTGCTGAGGGAGTACCAGGACAGGCTGGAGATGGGCAGGAGGTGTTGTTTGGAACAGGCTTCCTCTTTGGTCAGTGGTTTGGGGGTGAGAAGGTGCCCCCAGCTCGGGTCAGGGCCGCTCTGTGCCCTCCTTACCATGGCAGCAGCTGCTCTGCAGACGTGGACGGGGCTTCTGCGCTGGGCAGGATCCTTTTCTCTTTGGGAGTGCTCCCCCAGAGCCAGCAGGATGAAGCAGATGTCAAGCATATCCTCCTCAAACTGAAACAAGAGCACATCACTGCAGGGAATTCTCCGTGAACTTTTGTTCTCTTGAGTCCCTACGAGGGTTTGTGACTGTGCAGATTGTTTCTCCCTTTCTGCTGATGGTTTTAGGTAAGTGGGCTGTGAAGGAGGGCAGAGATCTGCAGGGGGAGCTGAGGACAGACCTCCAACTTTATTGAAGGTGGGGAATGCATCAGCATGATACTGTGTTCCCTGATTGAGGGAAATTGATGCTTTTCTGTAGGGGGATAGAATATAAGAAAATAAAGACAGTGTAGAAAGTAATCTCACCCCTAAGGAGTTGCAGCTGGGCCAATTAGCAAAGATTAGGAACAGGCCTGACTTTAACAGGCCACAGCTGTGACCAATGAGAAGAAGAGTGCTATAAAAGAGTGGGGTGGCTGGGTGAGAAGGAAACTGGAGTCAGTGGCTGCTTTGTGAAGGGGAAAGAGTCAGTGCTCTGAGGAGATGCCCATGAGAAACACCAAGCAGGTATGAAACTTTTGTGATAAGGAGATAACAGTATGGAGCCCCTGTGATAAGGTGACAACACTTTTCTGGCACAGAGATACTTTTATGATCTGCTGGCACAAAAGTGAAATAATCATTGGCTATGTCAGATGGCCTCAGACAAACAGAAAGATCTTCTTGTCCTTGCTTTACCTGTAAGATAGAGACAGTAATATTGAGCTCTGTTAAATGCTTTTATACCTGTTGATGAAAGGAAGGCACACAAAGCTCAGATATAGAACAATGCATTCCTTTATAGAGGACAGCCTGAGAAGGAAGTTAAAATTTCATGTGCTGGGTTACAGGACTTCATAGACAGGCCCCTGTTCTCCTGCACAGGAGGTGGTGGGTGCAGGGAACCTGGAGATGAATAGAGCTCTTTCCTCAGAGTTTCCTGTACACACCAGGTTTATGCACCTTTTCTCTGCTGGTGATTGGAAGTGAGCACAGACATATTGGACCTCTTGCTTACCTGACTGAAGTCCCAGGGTTGGGCTAGGATTGCATTTTCAGTCCCCTGGTAGATGATGCCATCTTGGTTTAAGATGTACTCCTGCCGCTGTGCCTCATTAGCCAGGAACACCTCATCATCTGGATTAGAGGAAAAAAGCATCAGGAAGAAAGCACTGCTGGTCTCAGATGCACTAGCATCTCTCATGCACCAGCAGATTCCACTGTGGTTTGGCAGTCCCTGGCATTCTGCCCTGAAAAATACCTCAGACTGTAAATCAGACAGGAAAGAAGAATTTCATTGTCATCTCCATTGCCTTGTCCAAAAAGCTCCTCTGGACCCAGGCTGTTGCACTGGCTGGCTCTTCTACTCTCCTGGCTGATGAGGTCTAATACTAAGAAGGATACAGTGGCCTTAACCAAACCAATTATAATCTTGACTCATCCTAAAATCTCTATTATAGGAAACACACAAACATTTTTTCCCTTAGCAGAAGGACAGGGCTCTTGCAGTGCAGTACTCCAGGAAGAGGCAGAAGTGCTGAGGCAGGAAAATTTGGGCTTTATGAGCCCCTACCTCTCTCCTGAGGTGCTGTGGGGAGCAGGGCAGGAGTGGAGGGAGCACTGGGTGAGTCAGCCCCAGCCTCCCTCCATGGAGGCAGTGCCACAGCTCCAAAGTGTTTTTTGTGAAGTGGCTGATCCCAGCCTGCCTTTCTCTTTCTGACCACCTACCTCTGCACCAGGGATTAAAGAGGAGGGTGAAGTTGCCCAGGAACTGAGGGGATTTGGAGGCACAGAAAAGCAGAGTGTACTGGCCAATGGGGGCATTGGCAGGTGTGTTCACATGCAGGGTCCAGAAGTTTGGGTCCTGTTCCTCCACTGCTGCACTCCACTGCTTCTGGTCTCCCAGGCTGGAGATGGGAAATTCAGCCTGGATTTCATCTGCTTTGGAAGAATGTGGTCCTGCAGACAAAGAAATCTGGTTGTGTTTATTCCAAACATTGTTTATTCCTCACCTGTGCAGCCTGCAGGGACCTTGTCTATCTCTGGAGCCACAGCTCTCCTTGTGAGAGGGCCATGACCCTTTAGCAGCTCAATGCCCACTGAACCTTGCCAAGGTCAGGAATGCACTCAGGCCTCCCTGCTTGACAGTGAGATGTGCTTTCCCTAGATTTGTAGCAACCAGGAATGGCCAGAATGGTGCAGCCCTGCTGTTCCTGTGGAATTTGGTGTCTTGTAACAGAAGTCAGAGCCCAGTGCTCACAATATGGTGAAACAAGCTGGGGCTGAAAGCTGCTGCCCTTCTCAGGGCTCTCACTAGAAAACACTAACAGAAAAACCTGTGACAGGCCAGCTAGGTTTGAACATTCCTAACCCCAAAAGCCAGAAGAGATCCCATGGGCATTTTGTAACCATGGAATAGTGAAGCTGTGTTGGTTGTTGTGTGCAGTGTCTCTTCTGGAAGGGATCTGGTTGTGATCCTGCAGGACACTCTGCTTTGCCTCACATAAACAGTTCACTGGCCCCACATCTAAATTTGGCACCCCTGCCCAGCTCTGGAGATGGCTTTTGGCCCCAGCTCTGTTCCTCAGGTGGGTGGAGGAGCAGAGCTCTGGTAGGTTTGTAATGGCATTACCTGTCTGTACGATGAGGAAGGTCCTCTTCATCTGCTTCAGGTAGTTGTGTACTGGAGCTGAGAAGCTCACAGTGATGGTGAATGGCTGTCCCCGCCTCACTATGAGCCTTTTAGTGCTGATTTCTTCTGTGTGGTGGCTTTTGTTATTCTCTGGGATCATGAAATCACATTTTTGGATGCTCAGACCTGTAGTGTGAGAAGGTACAGAATGAGTTTGGGGCTGTGAGCTGGCTGCAGTCAGGCCCTGAGCCACATTCTGGGGCACACAAACAGCTGATTGAGTGGAGAAACACCCATTCTCCCCCTGCCTTTGAGACTTTCTATCCAGTAATGGTGGGGACTTCACTCTGAGCTTGGCTGGTCTGGGGTTGAGCGACTGTTGAGCTGCCTTTGCTTACACCTGACATCATTAAGTGCAACCTTCACTGCTGGTTCAAATGCACACCTGGATCAAACACCAGTTTTCCTGCTTTGTACCACATCAGCTGACAATGCCATGCAGGAGACAGGAAAGATCCTCCTCCTGTCTCCTACACAGGCTTTATACACATCATATGTGCTCCTGTCCAGCACCAGAAGACAGAAAAAAAATTGTCACAATTTCAAGCACCCAGTTACTCCCTGTTTTGTCTCAGCTTTGGGATCATCCTGACCTTATTTACCTCTTTGGCTTGTAGCCCATCACTAAGATCCTTGGCCCTGTGGGTTGTAACTGCTGCCCCTTATGTGACACATGCTGTCACCCACCTCCCCTTGCTGACCCACGCTCCTCTCTCTCTTGCAGCTAAAAACTTTTAAATCCATAGATAATTTCTCTGCTGTCTAAACTGATTGCTCCTGTGCTGAAGCCATAACTGCTCTCTTTGCAGATTTCACTGCTCTGCTTTCTCCTGATGTCTTGTCCTGTCTTGCCCTCTGCATTGATACCTTCCCCCATTGTGGTTGTCCCTTCTGTGTTTGTTGGGGACTCTCACTGGATTGTGTGCTCTGTTTCTCTTTTCTCCATATAATTTTTTTTCCCATGTGATGTTTTCAGTGAAAGATTCTGGTCTGGCTTTCAAATCCCCTCATGGCTGTCCCAGTCCAGAGCCCTGCACCAGTTCAGGCCTTATGGAGCCAGCTCTGACCTCATCTGTTTTCTTCTCTGTGATGAAGATGTCTGTTCTGTCTGTCTTGTAGATCAGTGAGTAGAGTCTGGCTCCCTCTCCCTCATATGACTTTTCATGGATCTCAGTGTCACTTTCTTCAAGGTTGTCTGGAGCCTTGTTTCCCTGCTCCAGAGGCTCAAACACTTGGGCATCTCTCTGTTTCAGTTGTGCTGTCTCCTTAATTCCTCCCACCCCCTCATTCCCTGTGCTGAGGATTCATCACCTTTGCTTCCAAACCCTCACCTGTCTGCCTTAGCTGCTTCTTGCTGCTCCTCAGCCTCCTCTCAGGCATCAATTCCAGCTTTTGATTGCTGAGCCTTTTTGTGCAGTCTGCCATGCAGACTGAGCTCCCCAAGCCTTTAGAGCACTTGGCTCCTGCCCTGCAAGCTCAGCCCTTCCCCAAGCCTCATGAACTCTGTCTTGGAGCTTGAACTGTTCTTCCTGACACACAGCTGGCAAATGCTTGGAGCTAACAAAAATGATTTTTGCTTACCTTGGCCCATGGCTGGCTCTGGGTACCATGAAAATATTCAGCTTCTGCTTGCTCTGGTGGGCAGTGGCTCCTTCCTCCAGCTGTGTTAAAAACTGTCCTCTTGCAAAGCTGTTTGCTTGATTTCTTTGCACAGGGTGGGACGTGGTGTTGCCACCTCTCCAGCTTATCTGGTGTGCAGATGTTGAGGACTCTTTTATCTCTCAGACACACTGAAGACAGGCTACAGATGAGGTGAAGTTCCACAGCAGGCTGTGAAGCATTTGGAGACAGCCAGTGACAATTCCTTCAAGGAGCTGTGCACTGAGGAGCCCAGAGTAGGAAATGCAGGCCTTAATATGGCTCTGAACAATGCACAGATGCACTTCCAATGGCAGTTTTGGACAACTGCTGTCCAACATTGACCCCAAGCTACTTAGATCCTAAACCCTTCAAGGAGTTAAAAAATACACTCAGGGCATCCATTGCTCTTGTGCCTAATTCAGAAAAGTGAAACCACTTAAAATGAGAAAATATGTGACAAGAAACAACTGAATTTGTGTAGCTTAATGGAGATTATTTAAAAATATTGAGCGGGAGACTTGGACTAAATGGGTTCCTAAAGTTGCTGTAGTATAAAAAGAATGTCACTGGATTGATAATAATTGGTCAAAGGACAAGAAATAAGATATCAGAAATGAACAGCTTTCACTCTGGAGTGAGTCATCAATAGTTTTGCAGAAACCTATCATCTCCAACAAACTCAAAAATAAATTGAGAAGTACATAATATAGTCCAGTGAGTTTGGTGGTTTTCTAGTATTCCTTTATTAAATTTTACAATTGTTTGCTTATATGTGTCATTTAAGCTAGAAACAAACTCTCTTGAGTTTTGTTTTTTTACAGCATGGCCTTATCTGTATAGATTCACAGGATAACTGCAGAGTGGCTGAGGCTGGAGGGGACCTCAGAGGTCATCTTGTCCCAGCCCCTGCTCCAGCAGGGTCACCAAGGGCTGCTGCTCCCCTCTGCAGTGAGGAGCCCAGCTCTGGGCACTGCACTGCAGGTGTGGCCTCAGCAGCGCTGCCCAAGGCAGGAATCAGCTCCCTGGACCTGCTGGCAATCCTTTACCTGAGGCAGCCCAGGAGATTGTTCCCTTCTTTGTAACAAGGGCATGCTCCTGCCTCATGTGAGCTTTGACTGCTCTGACCTTCATTACAAAGTCCTGACTTTTATTACAAAGCCTGGAGGTCACCAGATTTGCAGAAGTTGGGAACACTAAGAAGAATATTGGGAAAATCTTCCGGAAAAGTCTTTATTTATTGTCAGCTTATACTGCTCAATGTCCATTATATATGATTTTTGTGTATGTCCTGAACTTGTTTCTTACATAAGGAGCTAAACACAGTGTGCAATGGCTGATTTGTGCTCTTTCAGTCTATGCAAATTGTAAACCGACTGTGCTCAAACTTCTGACTTTCTTTGCATGCTCAATGTTCTTAAATGCACCTTTACAGTAAATGTATGAGTTTTGAACCTCTAAATCAGAGTGGTTTAGATACAGGGAGGTATTTATCCCATCATCATTGGCTTGTAACGACTGTGCATACACACAGTACCATCTCTTGGTCAAACTGGCAACTGCAAGTAGCATTTCCTGCACTTCAACTCTGAAAAGAGACCTACTTATCGTCCCTTCGTGTCTTTCTTGGCACTAAAATGGGCAGAAAAAGCCCATGGATAAGGTTAACACCCAAAAGAGACTTCTGCACGTAGTACTGAAGTGTTTGTACTGGCATTCCATCTGGTGAGAATGACCCCTGTCCCCAGGCTGTCCCTACATCCAGGGCTGCCCCATCCCAGGTGCAGAATCCAGCACTTGCCTTTCTTAATTTGGTTTTGTCACTTCTCTATCCACTGCATCCCTGACGTGCTCCTAGAAATCTCGAGGAAAAGTAATCCATAAGATCCTTGAAAGTGTCCATCCTGCCTGGGTATTACTTTATTATCTTATGGTGTGTAGGAATACTTGTTTTACAGGTCCAAACATAAATCCATAAAAACTTTATTACCTTTAAAAATAGAAGCTTAAACTGTTTCCTGAGTGAGCATCTTTAATAATTGGATCTCTCTCTGAATATAGTGATCAAAAATTATATACACCCTTTTATTGTGTCTACATTTCCAGCTTTGATGTGGCACATCCATGAATTAGATAGGAATTTTTATTTTGAGGGGAATTTTTTGTTGCTTTAGAGCAACCAGAAACAGTTACACTGTGCCTTTGGTTTTATCTTTTTCAGTGCCCTCCACATGTAGTACAGGAGAGGGACAGACCAAGAGGTAAAGCAGTGAGGCTTTGGTGGCAGAACAATGTGATTTCAAACCAGAAACTTCAGCTATTTCTGGCTGATTTTTTATTTTTTAATTTGAATCTAGAAACTTAGAAGAACAGAATGATGTGGAGAAACATTGACTACCCTGGAGGCTGATTTCAGTGTGCTTCAAGACCAATTCATGGTTATGAAGGTGTCATATCGGTGAGTGCTCCTTGGATTTTTTTTGGAGTGGTCAGACTGGAATGAGGGCTGGCTGGGTCAGCCTCTTGGGCATGCTCTTGTTTAAACTGCATATTTATAAAGAAAAATACTGACAATTAGCCATTGCACTGCCCCGGCTCCCACTGACTGACCAAGGGCTGTGTAAAGATTGCAGGTTTAAAAAAAGCAATTTAAATCCTTCCTCGGGCACTTACATGTTTTTCTCTGTAATAATCATTAGCATAATTGAACAGTTGTCTGATGTCTCATGCAGGAGGAATGTGTTTCTGCTGCATGGCACTGGCCGGATCTGCATTTTCACACCCAAACTGAGCTGGGTGTGGTTGCTGGGGGCAGATGAAAATGCTGACACTGTGCAAACCCAGCGAGTGTTGCAAAGCCTGGAACTTGGCTCAGGCTCCAGAGCCTGGCTTCCCTTTGAACTGCAGCCTTCCTTTACAGGTGGTTAATTAGGATGAGGTCATCCCAAGCTCCTGTGACAAACACGGTCTGAAATAATTGCCTGGATTGTGTTTAAGAAGGAATACTGAAGGAATTTGAATGTTTTGGCTGTACTGTGCGTAAAATGTAATATCCATCTGCATTCTTGTAAGATTTAATGAGATTTTCTGAAATACCATCACTACCTCAAGGCCTTTTCTGAGGCTAGTGGCGGATTGTCTGCCCTGACTCTCCAAGATCCTGCAAGACTTAATTGATAGGTGCAAAGCTACCAATTCCCCTCTCCCTGGCCTGGAGAAATCTGAATTCCTGTGTGTATGTGTGTGTGTCCTTTTCAACCTTCATTCCAGTCTCTCTGGGCTGACTAGTTTTACCAAGCTTCCACATCCACTGTAAGTTTATGTGTGGGTGACAAAATATTGTAATTGATGTAATAAAATAGGACTTTGCATGTTTTGAAGATTTTGTTGGCTTTAAATTAAAGAAATATTTAAATGAGTTCTCAGTTTAATCTGTGTCCCAGGGTCAGTTTGTGTGCATGGGGGAGGCTGGTCCTTCATTGCTGGGCAGTACTGACAGGAGGAAAAAGTCAAATTGTCTCTTAGGAACATTCAGAGCTTTGCTAGATTGGCTTGTTAACTTTGCAAGGAGTGAATGGACACATTAGGGATTTAGATAGGGGTGGCACAATGCCTCCCTCATGAATGATGATCTGCTTTGAGCAGCTTTGTGGGATGAGGAAGAGTGACTGTTAATTGTGAATTTTTGTACACTTTTCTGATGTCCTTCTTTTTCTACTTTTCTATTTTCTCATTTTTCCAGCCATAAGAAGAGAGTTCTGTTGTATCACTGCCATATCTTATTGCTGTATTTTCCTTCTCGCAATAAGATTAAATGATAAATTTAATTCTAGAATTTAATTATGTCAGCTGCTTGGATAGCACTTTGGCTAGTACTGAATAAAACATATTTAGTGGATGTAAGCCTGGAGAAGTGAAGGTTTCAGGGACACCTTGTAGTTCCTTCCAGTGCCTAAAAGGGACTCACAAGGAGGCTGGAGAGGGACTTCACCAGGGTCTGGCCTTAAGCAGGAGAAGGGCAGGTTTAGATTGGGATATTAGGAAGAAATCCTTCCCTGAGAGGGTGCTGAGGCCCTGGCACAGGGTGCCCAGAGAAGCTGTGGCTGCTCCATCCCTGGAAGTGTCCAAGGCCAGGCTGGATGGGCTCTGAGCAGTCTGGGATAGTGGAAGGTGTCCCTGCCCATGGCAGGCAGCTGGAACAAGATGAGCTCTAAGACTCCTTCCAACTCAGACCATTTTATTATTCTGTGATAATTAAATTGCATTCTATGAAGCTTATAAAACCAGTGATTTTAAATGATGTTCCTTGGAAATCCAGCTGCTATTATTGCTACAGGCTGTAATGCTGCAAACCATCACACTTGATCTTCCCCTTCAAGTTTAATTATATAATGGCTCCCACTAGTAATTGTATGTGTGAAGGCCCATAAAACAGGCTAGAGAATGAGAAAGGTGACACTGTCTTTACAGTATAGTCCCTGGTACCTTTTTATTCGTTTCCGTTCATATTGCATCACTTTATTTTGGCTGAGTAATCTGCATTTCTGTGCTTCCAGTCATCAGAATGCATGAACACTGCACCAGCCTCATAAACAGGCAAAACTGAACTGCTGTGCAGGTTATATCACTGAGTAGGAGCCACGTGAAGCATCACAAATCCCTTAATGTCTGAAAAGTGGGTGCAAACCAAGTCCACCTGAAGCTGCCTGGTGCCACTCCTGTAGGGAATGATTTCAAATTCCACTGTTGAAGTCTCCATGGGGGCCATTCTTTCCACACTAAAAGAGAGAATGCATTTGTAAGTTAAAGCAGCTGAAAAATTCTTGCTATGTATTCTTCTGAGCACCCAGATTTAAGGCTGTATGCCATCTCTCCACTCCCTGAGCATTCTGTAATTCAAATATCGGCAAAAGTGGTGCAAAAACTCCATCTGCTCTATGGAGAGTACTGACATGGTGGCAGTTTGTCCAAGGCTGGTGCAAATGAGTTATGAGGTTGACAGAATCTTTTTAAAACCCCCACTGGTACTCCAGATTTCCCAGCAGAGTGAGCAATGACCATCCAGAAGCGTTTACGTACCCGATTCGGAGCTGCTCTTTGAGCAGGCCACTGCCCTCAGCTCTCAGGACACAGCCTGTCACCTCCTCAGACAGAGGGTTGGTAAATGTGACCTCCACACTGACAGGCCTGTGCACCATGGCTGGACCAAGGACCTACAGAGAGAAAACATTCTGCACCAGTCTCTTGTCTTCCTAATGCTTTTCTCCTTTCATCCCCATTGCAAACCACTCCTCCTCAGGATCACCTGGGCAGGAAGGAGCCAGGCATTAGCTCATGTGCATAGTTTTGGGCAACAGATTTCAGCCTTGAGTGAGTGTGGCTGAGCATCAGCAAACTGCTGCAGAATCTACCATTTAGTCCCTTTTTTAACTAGGTCAGTGCATGGTTTCATGTATAACATGATACTCATCAGAGTGAGAACACAAGTATTAGCATACATGGTTAAATTAGCTTTAACTAGGCTAAATGAAAGGTTTGGGATTGGAGAACATGAGAGGTGTGAGACAGAGCTGAATTGTGGTGTCTCAGGGAAAAGAATGCAAAAAAGAAATTAGCAAGTAAGCATATTCATTACCTTATTTTGGCTGAGATAATGTGGAATTGGTATATATTTGTAAATAATGTAATATTAGGTAACATCACTGAGAGGTACCAATTGCATTTCTTTATTACATTATAGGGAAGTTTATAGGGAAGTTTCAATCAACAGAAACATAAATGCTTCCTAACACTTAATCACTGAATTGAAGTAATTTAATCCAAGTGCCTGCCCTACATAAATTTGCTTTGTTATTTGCATGACACAACACAGAGACTTTTTACAAAGTCTCACTAGAACTTGGTATTTAGATATTGCCAGACCTGCAAAAAACCCACACTTTTTACTCCTGTGTGTGACCTTGCTTTTCTTGTATGCTGCTGACAGTGGCTTGGGACAACTAATCCAGTCTGGAGGCCCTGAAGGGCTCTGCACATTACCATATTCCCTCTGTGTTATTTACAGGAAGATGAGCAGATAACATTTGATCCCATGAGTTATGCAGCATTTAAATCTGCTGTCCAAAACCAGTTCAGCTCGTTTATGTGGATGTGATGGGCCTTGCAAAGCCAGGACTGTCCCTGGGCAAACACAGTGCAGGATCTTTCCTGTAGGCTAAGAACTGCTTTTTATTCATTGTACTGCATTTGTCAAAAGTCAGTTAAAAGTGGAAAAAAGAGAAAGCCTCCAGTTCTAATTAATCACTTGGGAAGTGTTGCAGAAGGTGAAAAGTGACATTTACCATGATACAGTTAAAGAACTTTGAATATTGGTAATAGAGAGACTCACAGCCCCAAGTGTTATCAGCTGGTCAGTGAAGGTGTCTTTGGTAAAAAATCTTCCTAAATAAACTGGAAGATATTGATCAGACTTTTCTAACAGAAGGGGAGGTCTAAATATGGATGAGATTTCTTTCTCTGCATTCTGCCTGTCCATCCTTAGGTAGACTTACCTTGTAACTGTTGTAACACTGATAACTTTATCAGTGCCACATTAACAAACACTGGCAAGAATATCCCAGCACAGCTATGCCATGGAAATATTTTTCTTGTTTTTAGTGTATTTACTTTCATTTGTATCATATGGCCTATTACTACAGCAACAAGATCCAAGATCAGGCATGATTTCACTTCCCATACTCCTTCCCATGAGGAATAGATGGAGTAAGAATTCCAGTTGCTGCTTCTCAGGACCTCTCTCAAGGGTCACAGAGGGGATTAGATTTTACCTTGATGGTGAGAAAAGGATCCTGGAGCACAATATCCTTCTCAACTAGAAGTGAGGCTCCCCTTTTCATCTGGCACACAGCAGTCACCAGGATCTTCCTGTCATCCCTCAGAGAGTTTTTGTACTGGGAGTAGGAGATCTTGAAAGAAATCTCCTTCACTGTAATGGAAACAGAAACAAAATTTCCCTCTCTTCTTTTTTTCTGAGTATCAGCTATCTGTAAGATACCTGTGTTTTAAGGAGTAATTCTCTTATCACCCTGGGGCTGCACATTTGTGAGTGTTGACACCAAGAGACAGGAATGATGCTCATGGGTGACTTCTACTTACATTTACACAAAGCACTAAATGATCAGGTACAGTTTGGTACCTGGGCAGCTCTGAGGATGGATGGATGTGGCAATACCTGCTGGTGTTTTTTTCATTAATCTGAAGCTGGTGTTTATTGCTCCTTCCTTGCAAAGAGGGCAGAGGTCAGAAGGTGGCTTGGTTGAAGTGCCCTTGCAGATGCAGCTGTTCAGCCTCTGCCTTGCTCAGTCAGAGTTGCTGTGCCAGTGAGGAAGGCAATGGAACTCAGTATAGGGAGGAAAAGAATCCTGTTGGAACTCTGGAATGAGTTCTAACGTGTTATGTATTAGCTTGAGAGGGTAGCTCTGTCCATCTGTGCTGCCTCTCATTTTTCAGCACTGTCCCTCTAAAAGCAGGGCAGAGACCCCTCTCTGCAAGTGGCACAGCTCTTCCTGCAGTTGGTGGTTGCTGTTGTGATGCTGTGAAAGTTGTAGGCTTGTTTTCCCCCCTTTAATCTGTCTTTTTGCTTTGCTTGGGGGAGCCAGCATCTCACTATTTTCCAGTCTATGTCTCTTAATTGTTCTCTCTTAGCAAAAAATGTCATAATATAGCACCAACAGTGGCTGTGCTGGGTCAGAGAAAAGGTCACCCTGCTCAGCCTCCTTTTTGTCAGTGCCTGGAAGCAAATGCTTAAGACAGGGAAAATATGTGTCTTTCTTTTCCCCTGAATAGCCTTGACCTACAACTGTTTGCAGGTCATACACTTCATAAGCCATTCTTTATTTTCATGTGATCTGACCATAACCCAAAACTATATCTTGTCCAGTAATAAAAACTGTAATAAAATCAAAATTACCTTCTTCAGATCCAAGTTTAACAGACCTATGCAGCTGCAAAATCTCTGCCTTGGGTTTTCTGGTGTAGAGGATGGCTGAAGCCTTCAGTTTAACCTTTATGGTCTTAAAATCTGAGATCAAGTTTTTGAGTGTCAAGGTAAGGAGGATGTCCTGGCCAACCACAGGGGATTCATCAAGGAGCAGCTTCCCTGAGATGCTGGGGGTTTGTGCAGGCTGTGCCCTTGAAAATCCTCTTCTGGACCTTGGAATTTTGCTTCTTTTCCCAGGTCTTTTCACACCCAGCAGCTTCAGTGCTTTCTTGTACACCTGCCTTTCTTTCAAGGACCCTGCATTGAAAGGTACCATGGTCAGAGATCTTGTGCACGTACAGGGTGTGGTGCAGTTGTGCCATGGCTGATCTCAGACATTTAGGGAAGCTGAGAAGGGCAAAGACACTCAAGAGGAGAAA